AAAAAAAACCCAAAAAACAAAAAACCAAAAAAACCAACAGTAGCCTGAGGCTAGACCATGCACATTTGATACAATACAGACAAGAGTCTGTATTGGAATTGTTTCAGATAAATTTCGTCGAAGGAGAAAGGTGTGAAATAGTTTCTATATGAAGAAGGTTGGGCAGATCAGGATTGTTCTGCTTGGAGAAGTAATATAGGTCTAATAAAATACTAAGAGGCAAGAAGAAGGCAGATAGAAGTAACAGTTCATGGATTTTTCCCATACAAGAACTAGAGGTTATCAAATAAAATAGTAGCTGGCAAGCCCAAAGTAGAGATCCTTCTTTCAAGACACTTCATACAAGGTACACACAAGCTCTGTGAATCCTTTTTACAGGATATTGCAGGTGCTACAATTTTATATTGTGTGAAAAGTGGTTAGAAATATTCATGGGGAAAAAAAATCAAGGACTAATAACTACAGTGTTAAATGTCACATGACTGACTCCAATTTGCACTGGCACTGAAAATTTCAGTATATATTTGGCAGACACATTGCTTAACCATGTACTACTGGCTATTGTGAGACAGGCTGTTCAGCTGGAGAGGCCTTTGGGCTACATGGTGTGGCCATTCCTATATTCTTAAATCCTTTATCTGAATGAATCAGAGCTGCACTTTGTGATGAGGCTGCTTCCAAAGACAGAATCCAAAGTTAACATAAGGCTCTGTGATTTTGAGCAGAACCACCACCCTGCAGTTCCAAAACTCCTTCTGAAACTTCCTCATCTATTCCCAGCATTATCTTATGAAAAGAACAATAAATAAAGAACACTTTGCTTAAAAAAGTCCCAAACCGTTTCTCTGTTATCCAAACCAAAACTCCACACTTTCCTGAGGTTTCCCTGCCAGAACCACAAAAGACATTGGCACATTCTATAGGCTCAGGCACCAGTAAAATCCAATATGTATCTAGAGAAGACTGATTGCCTGTCCTTACTGTAATGATTTTAAGGCCCAGTGCTCCACAGGGGAGAGATACAAGACAGCCAGGAAAGACATTGTGAAAACAGACAGTGAGCATATAAATCACCAGTGCAACTCAGACACGGAAGCTAGGAAGAAGACTCCTATTTGGAAGATATAAGAAGAGGATACGGAAGAGGAAGCAAATCTTTTGATATAGATAAAATGCAGAATACTGTGGGGACAAGAAAAGAATCATCCTTCTGCCTCCAGTGAGAACAGTGGCTTTATTGAGCCAGGAACTGGAAAGGGTTATTTTTTCCTTGTGCTGAAATACCTCCAGACCATAGCTGGGAGAGGACTGGGGCACTTGCCTGCATTGATTTAATCTAGTATGGAAAAAATATATGTTCTTATGATGAATTTCTAACACCAAAGAATTTGTCTGTTTTAATAAGCCCAGAGAACCTAGGTGTCTGGTGATTTCTTGTCATAAATCAGGAGCTCATTAAAAGAAAAAAGTATGAAAAGAAGGCAAAGATTCTGGCAGGAGTCTTGAGAAAACAATTGAAAAGCATTTTTGAAGTTTCACTCATTTTGGTGCAATATGTGCAAAGGCCACAGCTCTGAGCAGTAGTAGTTCTGAAGTCTGCCAACTAAGTACCTTAAAGCTCCTGAATGTACTGAATTTTAGACCAAGGAGTCAGCTTTCTGCCTGTGCCTGGATATTGCCTGCTTAGAATGACACGCAAAGCTGGGGTTGTGGGAGGGAGCTACAGGAAATCATGCTACCTGACCAACAGGAAATTCAAAGTGCATCAATTCTAAGAGTCCAAAGAGCTGTTGAAAAGTAAGATAAGGTTCAGAAGGGGATTACTGTGTCCTAAATGTGATATTTTTATTGAGAGGGCAATGCTTAAATTACATTTTTATGAGCCAGAGTGGCATACCATCACTTTTTCATTTTACTGGGAAGCTTGCTGTGCTTCTCTGGTTCACAGCTGCAGAACGGATTAATTTTATCCTCTACTGAATGAGACCTTCAGTCCCACTGTAGCTTCTTACTTGGAAGCAGAATGTAAGGGTACTACAAGACCAAAATTATTATATCATCAGACAGAGTAAAAGAGAAATGGGAATAAAAATGGATAAAACACTAAGACTTGATTCAGCAAAACATTTATGTGCATGTTAGCCTTAAGCATCCCTGGTTAGTGAAGCACCAAAGCATGTTCTTGGGCTTAATTGAAGTTAATGGGATTTACACAAGTCCTGAAGGTAATCATATGCTTCACTGCTTCATTAAATCTGAATACAAGTATTAAAAGGCAAGGTTTATCCTCAGGGAATTCCATTGAAAAACACAGTGATACAAAACTATAAATCATTTTAAGGTATTTATTACTAAAATTCATACACAAAAATGTGCTAAGGGAAGTGCAGGCTGCATATGAGAGCTGAGCCTCAAAATAGCACTTTGTTTAACAAGATATCTGAGACATAAGACCTGGTTCAGTGTAAAATCAGAAGGAACTACAATGAAGCCAAGGCCAATGCAGCTGATATCAATATTACACCCCAGAGAAGAGGATTTTCTAAAAGTGTAGGGGGAGGGGAAGAAAAATGGAGAACAGGTCCCCAGAGAACATGATAAATGGCGATGGGTTAGGCAATATAGTTCTGCTTCCAAAAGCCAGGCTTAATCCTCACTCAGGAGTAGACATTGTGCCACATATTTAATCTATCCCTTAGAGAGAGTCAAAGGATCAAAAGCATCACACAGACACTTAAAGGGAAAGGTCATATTCCCATTGAGGACTAATGACTACATCCGTTCCTGTGAGCATGGGGATTTCTGGTGAGGGAACTAAAACTGCAGTGTTTCCAGCATTAACTCTGGCTGTAGGGTGTCTGCTGTCACAACAGCTTCTTGAACCCTTCCCCTTTACTCCAAACTACCCTCATGATGTGAGGTTGCAGCTCCCCACGTTTCTCCTACAGCTTTTCCATACCTTTCAGCAAAGGGATTTCTTTAACAAAACTAAGCTCTGTGATCAGATCACCCAAAGCCACTGCAATGTCTCAAAACTACCAAAGCCTTTGTGGTTACAGAAGAATTGTAGAGAGCTGCTATAATTTAAGAGCAGGGATTTTTTTTCCACCGTAGTGGTTCAATGTGTGTTGTGTGCACACATGTGCTTCAGCACAGATGGAGATTCAAATGAATATCAGACCCTTTGGTGTGAGTTCAAATTTCCTGAAGGTGTTGGAATGTCTGTAAAACATCAGATGCCCTTTTGGTTGTTTTTTTATAAATACATTTTAATTCTCTGATGATTTGACATTTCACTTTATTTAGGAAAAATGGGGGAAAAAATTACAACATATTGAAAAAAGTTATTACCAAAAAAAGAACAGGGAAAGGGAAGGAGGCCTGTGTGTCCCTGGCAGCTACCTGCCTTTCTTATACAAAGCCACCTATGATTCTTCTACAACCACAAACAAGCCAGGTTTTCTTTGTGCTCTGTCCAGAAAGGAAGTTCAAAATATGTATATCTACTCCAAAGCTATTAATTTTTTTACAAGATTATTGAGGAGAGTAGAGAACCATTGTCATATTCCTTAAAATAAATTTTCCCCAAAGCTTCAGGAATCTCTAAAGTAAGGTTTAAGATATCCTTTCTTTTTTTCTCCTCTAACACATTTACCTCATAAACAACAGTTACTCTCCGACTGGTTTACTTTTATATTAATTATATCTATTTTTCTGTTTCTTCAAGGGAAAAAAAAAAAAGGGGAGACTTTAGACCACTGCATAGCTCGCTTTACTTTCACCTTGCTACTGTCAACCCAGACCCACAGCGCTGGAGAGGTTGTCCACTCACAAAGGCTAAAGGATATATTGAGTTGAAGGATATATTGAAAGAGTTTCTATATGGTCAGTAAGATCAAAAAAACAACAATCTTTGAACCTTTTCCTTTTCCAAAATGGTTTCAATTGCATAATGAAAGTAACATAAGGCAAAACAGCAACAAAAATCAGAGTCAGGCCCTTAAACAAATGTCATCACTGCTTAGACTTCAGTGAGGGTGTTAATTATTATCACAAAGTGAGGAAACCACAGAATTGTTGGACCAAACACACGTTTCATGTGGAGAAAGTAGTACAAACAAACCAAAAACATATATAATTTTTCATGGAGTAGAGAGAAGATCCATCTATTTATTCAACAAGCCTAACGGATCCTCCTCTGGTACAAACTATCTAACCTAGTACAGTATAAATTTCATCCCAAGGCTGTCACAGCCTTCCTTATGCCTGTAATTTATTAACTATCTCAGCTATGAGATTACAACTGGGATAATTCTGAGTGCCATTAAGAAGGAGGTTGTTGTATAAAATCTACATAACTGTACCATGACACCAACACTGGAGAACCAACCTTCTCCCATACACCCACATTCACCATTTAAGAAGACATTTAAACTAAACTTAAGACATGCAATTATTCCACCTAGCTCTAGGACATGGGATAGAACTACTAAAAGGAGTGCTATACCTTATGGATGAGCCATGTACATGGTGAAAAAATGTACTTCTCACTGCAATATAGCATAGGGAGCAGTGATGCATATAGTTCAGAAGTTATCCCAGAGAACAACACACACTGGGGACTTCACATTAAGGTGGTAAAAAGGCCAAAGTAAGTAGGTTTTGAATAATCTGTCTAAAAGGTATCCTTTTCCCCCCTTTAATATCAAGGTGATTTGTTACCTGAAGCTGAATAAAAAATAACATATCCTACGCATATAATACAGGAACATTATCTAGCCATGTAACAAAGATTTTGTTATTTATGGACCAATCTAGGAATAAAATTACTTATAACGCTGAAATAAAAATAGAGATTAGGCAGTTCACTGATCTGTACTCTCAGAATTAGGAAGGACAGATCCTTTCGTGGTATGCAATCATCATGATGAGCAATTTTTAGAGTACCTCCTTGTTATATACTGAAGTCATATATGATAAAAAAAGCTGATCTGACACACTTAGGTTATGTCTTTATTACCACATTTTCCTGAATCAGAGCGGTGCTGACAGACCTTATTTTTAGACTGATATCCAGCAACTTTTTATAGGTATGGACAATGGGTGTATACTGGTTTCAACAGGTGAAATGTAGGTTGAGAGAAGGCAGGAGAAAATCTCCAAGTGCCTTACAAAGGTGATGGAACAAATTTCACAAATTGAAACTTCAAGTCAACCTTATTGAACCCCTGGAAATTCCTAACAACAGAGTCCTAGAACGGGTGCACTGAACACAGTTAAACTGGTTTAGTTTAAGTAATTCTAACTTAGGTTATTTATCACTAGCAATCTGAGCTAACTTAACTTAACATGGTCTAATTTTTCAACTGACCCATAACAATTCTATTACTAAATTTTTTACAAATTATTTTTTTAAATGTCTCATACTTTGATATTTGCAAGCAAAACCAGTCTGCAAGCAAAGCCAGTGCTGCAAACCCCACACCTTTCCTTGAATTTTCTGCCATCTTTTTAGAAAGTTTATTTAAAAGAATATAACCCAAATATGTGCTTTTCTATGAAAGGCACTTTTCAAGTTCATTTTGCCAGAGAAAATACTAATTTTCCAGAATGGCATATTTCATTTGCTACCAAAGAGGACTGACTGTAACATAAAGCGGGTGGCTCCTTAAGAAGAAAGAGAAACAATTTGACATGGTAGGTCTGGTATCCTTCTGCAATATCAAATGAAGCCCTACATTTTCAAAATGATGCATGGGAACTTAACCACGTGGTGCCCATTAAAGTCAATGCCAGCTCTCATGGTTTATGAGGTCACCAGAAGTCCTTGATGGAATTACACTCCCGTCCTGCAGGGCGGATTCTCTTGTATCAAAGATATAATCAAAGTCTATAAAGTCAACAAAAACATCTGCAGTCAGTTCGCTCAGATTTGGATCACGTATTTCCACTGGAAAGAGAGAAACAAGAGGGAAATAAATTACTGAACAATTGTTAGTGTAACAGCATGGCATGGGTCTTATGTTGACACATATTCCTGTATCGAAGGGGGAAATAATGTCTTCCTGTGGTCATGCTCTAGGCATCTAAATGAAAAGAGAAACACTGGGGAATATTCCTCAGAAAAACAAAAGGACATCCTGTGAGACTGCAATTATAAAATAATTCTTTAAGCATACCTTACAGCTATCATATAACATACCAAACAAGTGCACTTGAAGAATAAATAGTCTGGGTTCTTTGTGCATCACATGCATTTTTAGAATTTGCTGTACTGGTGCACATATGTCAGTTTTGTATTTACTGAACTGAATCTTTTAATATCTATCAAAATAGTAACATTCAGCTTCCAAAAATGAAGCCTGGCACTCAATTTGCAAAAAGACTTTGCACATTGTTGTGTTTTAAAACACTCAGTAGTTAATAAAAGACTGTGGTCTATTGGTGTATTGGCTTTCATATTCTCTCTGTTGGAATATGATCCTGCTTTAGCAATAAACTGATATGTTGATTGAATACTTTCCAATTCTCTAGGTTTCTAGTAGAGTTCCTGGGGATGTATCACTAGCAGAACAGTGACTGCGCTAAAGAATCTTTCTTGGAAAATGAAAAGCCATGGTACCTCTGGGGTCTCCTCCTACATAAGACAGAATAATTTTCTTCAAAAAGTAGGCATTTGTCAAGCTGCATGATGATATTCATTGTTAAAACACGGATCAGAAAGTTTCTAGAAATTTGTCCGCTTATCAAACATAGTCAGGATTCAATCAGAGTGCGAAGTGTCCTAAGCTAGTTAAGAATTTAGGGAGCAATTTGTATGCACACATGCATTAATACTTGCATACCTTGCAAACGAAGGTCTAGAAAGAAGCAGACATGCTTCATGAAAAAGATTTGCACAGAGCAAATAAATAATGTCTCCGAGAGAAGCAGCAAATTTGGAAGCATAACAGCCAATGGGAAAAAGATTTATCACCAGGCGTTTTCATGGGTGCATGGTGTCTGTGGTTTAATTAGGTTTCTGTTATCCAGGGCTACATTAATTAGGTTTTTGTTATCCAAGGTTACCAGTGGGGTACCCTGGCCCTCCAAAAACATAAACAGTGCAAAACTTATTTTACAGCAGCCCACAAGACGGAGAGGAAAAACAGCTCTTATTTCAACATGGCACGTCTCTGAACTAGGGAATATAGATGATACAAATATAGCCATACTGCTTCTTGATTCAGGTGACTTCACACTTACTGCCCTACCTATCTACAGGCTGGATAGGTCACCCACTGGATAAGTGTGAATTAACCATAAAAGGAATGCCGTGCCGTATCAAATTAATTTCTGCAGCAGATGTGGTGGCCGTGGCAAAATTTCAGAAGCTTTGAAGGGTCGATCCCAGTGGTACCACAGCTTTTCATTTTCCAAGAAAGATTCCTTTAACACAAGATGGAGTATGTTTTCTTCTGTCTTTTGTTTTAGTTTCTGTTATTACTATTCTTGCGAAAGAAATAGCATCAGGAAAGTTCAGAGTGGGGCAACGTTTTCATTACAGAGGATTGAATCACCCAGTAAAGGATAAAATTTACAGCAAGAATTCTGTGAAAGAAGCCTTGTGTATGTATGTTCACATCCAAACCTTATGATATAGCCTGTAATATTTTACTTTTTGCAGCCAGGCTGCTTCCCTTGCCTTTGCTTAAATGAGCAGTCAGTATACTCACAGCTGGCCTGGGCTATTCCCCCCTCCCATCATGCCTTCACCCCTCTGAACATCAAACTCCAGATAAATTTTACTGATAAAGCCAACACTAAGTAGAAAGAAAAGTACGCATTCTTCATGCTGTACAGCTGAGCAGGGCTAAATGGCTAATAAAAAGTCCTGGGCAACAACTTTAGAACAGGGAAAGGGCTGGTGCTGTGGGTGAAACTGAGAGGAGAGGGAGGCTGGTGGAGGGGGACGTGTCAGTCCTTGAGCTGGAGCCAATGCCAATCCCTCTACACAGTTTGAGCAACACTACCTCAAAAGTGCACGGTTTTTTCTGCAAAGTGTTTGACTTCCATCTGACGGAATTTTGTGTGAGCTGAGATCAAAGATGTTTGAATTAGTTTTATAAACAACATAACTTAGGTAGGTATTTGACATGGGTAAATACTTTGTAAGCAGCATAGAATTATTAATTATGAATTTGCAATCTCTCATCTTACACTCCTGCTCTAATGCCCTATTTCTGAAGAAGTATTCACAACCACGATACAAAGGCTGGAGTTACATAGCCCAGGCTTTTAACGCACTTTTTACAATGAAAATATTAAAATACCTATCATAGAATGGCCTGGGTTGGAAGATACCTTAAAGATCATCTAGTCCCAAAACCCTTGCCATGGACAGGCGTATCTTTCACTAGACCAGCTGTATCAGAGCTCCATCCAACCTGGCCTTGAACACTTCTGGGGATGGGGCACCTACAGTCTTTCTGGGAAACCTGTTCCAGAGCCTCACAACCCTCACAGTGAAGATTTTTTTTCTAATATCTAATCTAACCCTATTCTCTTTCAGTTTAAAGCCACACCCCCTTGTCCTGTCACTATATGCTCTTGGAAAAAAAGTCCCTCTCCATCTTTTTTGTAGGCTCCCTTCAGGTAGTGGAAGGCCGCAATTAGAACACCCCAGAGCCTTCTCTTCCCTAGGCTGAATAATACTAGTTCTGCCAGCCTTTCTTCATATGAGAGGTGCTCCATTCCTATCAACTTGATGACCCTCCTCTGGACTCACTCCAACAGGTCAATATCCTTCCTGTGCTGGGGACCCCAACGGTGGATTCAGTATTCCAAGGGAGACCCCACCTTGAGTATACGTATTGAGAGATTGCAAGTTCTTAGTTAATAATTCTATGCTTCTGGAGCTGCCACTTAGGCTAAACGCGTGAGCTCCTTCAGCCTTGCCCTCCAAAGGGGCTGCGTCACCGGTGCCCGCGCTACGACCGCGGGCGCACTCTCCTGTACCGAGCTCTTCTTTTCCTTCCCGTCACCCTCAACCGGCTGGGGCGGTACAGAATCATGCAAACCCTCACCGTTTCAGCAGGCCAGCGCCGGGAAGCAGGAGGTCGCCGTTCCCAAAGCAGCCAGGAGCGACGGCCCCGCGGAGCCGCGGCCCGGCAGCACAGCCGGGCCCTGCGGGCGCAGCGACACGGCCCGCGCCGCCACCGAGCGGGGCCGCCAGGGGGCGCCCGAGCGCGGCCGCCCGTGCGCGGCGCCGGGATCCCGGAGCGGGGAAAAGGTGGGGAGCGTTGGGAAGTGTCCATGTGGAGGGCAGATTGGCGGACGTTTACATCGAAGCGATCGCAGGGTAAAGTCCAGCGCTCGGCCGGCACGTTTCGGGGAAGGCAGAAACGCAGGGAAAGCTGCGGCAGAGGGTGTCCGTTTGAACGCTGATTAAAACAGCTCCTTCCTTGCAAAGCCCTCAGGTCGCAAATGGAGCGGATACTGGGAATGCTTGCTAATAATTCTGCAGAGATCTGAAAGGAAAATGTCTTTTTAATTCACAAGTAGAGAAAAATAGCCGAGGAAAGGCTTTCCTTTTTCTTGCTGCCATGCTAAACCCCTGATTCCTTCAGAAATGTTATCTACGACTCAGTGTGTTTAATTATTTTTTTTCCTTCAAATGATTGACACGTAACAGATACATGAAAACAGATTGATGTAATCTTTGAGATTAGAACTATAAAACAGGAAAATCCAAATTAAATCTTCAGTTTAAAAAACAAACCAACAAATAAAATAAGAAACCACACAAACAAACAAAAAATCAAACAAAAGAACTACCACCATAACTCAGAAAGGTATTAATTATTAGGAGAAAAAGTAACTCATGCTTTCCTGTTAAATTATTATATGAATGGTAGCATTTTGAACTCTTGGCCTAAAATAGTTATATTGAGCTTTGATCCATAGGACGTTAACAGACGGGAAGCAGAGGAGTGAATTGGGGTGAATTTAATAGTATCCAGAGATAGAATAATTAACTCTTATGGTGCCTATTAGCAGCTAGGGTCTGAAGGAAAGCACTTTATAAAAATAAAACCAGAAACGAAAAAGGCCATTTCTGGATATTGTTAGGTAAATAAATTATTTGAGAGAAGGGTATGACATCCATCCGTAATATGAAGGCCAAGTTTGTCTTCTTTATCATCCACCAAAAAGGATCACTGTCTGCTAACAGGCTGAAACATTGTAGGCCAGCAGTTAACTGTCCCTACTCACTCTTGAGCTTTTATTTCCTTCTTATATTAGTAAGCTTTTCAGTAAATTTACTCTTTTCACAATACATGTATGAGTACATGGATTAATGAGGCTTCTTATGAGTCATAACAGCTTCAGATGCTCTTCTTTCTTTTTAGCCTTGTTTGTTAGCTAGATATCAAATACTGTTTGGCTAACACAGAGACTGGGTCTGTGTAGGCTGGCTCAGTAGAGGATGTAGCATTTTTATACTCCCTGATTTACTTCTGAGTGTCTACATCAGTTCATACAGCCCAGTGTATTCTGTCTTCCTTGCCATAACAACCACCTAAGCTCAGGCTGTCTATAAATGCAGCACCTTTATGGCTGTTCAGTGATATTAATACTCCTCTAGGAAGGAGTCTGAAAGTAGCTTTTTTGCCCAACAGAACTTAGATGAGGCTTAGAAAGAGTGTATTGCCAACAGCAGAGATAGGCACAAGTGCTGAAACACAAGGTGGCTGTACTCATGTGTACCTTCCTGTTTAATTGCCATGTGAATCACACTGATCTGTTCACACAAAAGCCATTGAAATGCCTGAAAACAACATGCGGGACATATTCTGTAGCTAACAGCCTATAGACTGAGAGGTAAAATAAAATGATTCCATAAATACTGGAGAGATGCTCTTTACATCAAAAGAAACAGCACTTCATTTTCAAAGGCTAAAACATCAGCACAGGTGACAATGTCTTTCAAAGTGTAGAGTAGATATTAACCCACTTCACCAGAGTTATGCAAAACCTCAGAAAGATGTACTTCACATGATTATGCGTTATATACCAAAGGGAAAGGAAGGAAGGAAGAAATTTCCCCAGCCTTTCTGCAAATGCATACAATAGAACTCATTGAAAAGCCTCTCAGTATATTGCAGTACTGAACAGTAAATCAATGTAATCTGAATTTCTGCAGTAGCAGGAAACTTTCCAAATGATCGCTATAAATGGAGCACATGTTTTACGTATAGGTTACTATTTTTGGCAGTCCATCAAACTCCTTTGATCTGTAGACAGTGGGGTTTCATCCAGCCAGCAGGACAAGAATAAAAGGTCCATATTCTGCCAAGATCCACTCAGAGCAGGAGATGGGGAGCTGGTTATGGTCACACAGCTCTACAGCTGCTCCTGTGTCAGCCTGAGCCCCAGCAGAACTTAGATAAGCTTGTGTAGTTCAAGTACACCCTAACGAATCCCAGCCTGCTTTAGTCCCTGAGATGTACCCGTTAAGAACCCAGAGCACTCTGTTTTGTTTCTGTGGGTCTCTCAGTCTTTCCCTGTGCCAGCATAGGAAGAAGAATTGGCACAAGAGCTGTTTATACCACCTTGCACCGGCTGCATGGCTCCCTACACAGGGAACATCCCCCGAGGCCAGTTAAGACAGTGCCCTGCAACACCTGCACAATACAAAGTGACGGAAGTCAGCACAGAGAGTCTGGCCTGTGAGTCCTCAAAATGGAAAAAGGCAGATGAAAAAAAAAAAACCACCAAGGCAAGGGAAACCAGGCATCACATGAGGATTAGAAAGAAAAGACCAGAACGAAAATTTATAAAATGGGGCAAATCACTTCCTGACTGCAACAGAGCTGAACTTCAAAAACGATCCACTGAGCCTACAGCACTACTGGCCAGGATGGACAGTGTTTGAGTGTCCTTCCTCTCCTCAGGTTCCTCATCAAAGATGATGTCAAGATTTATGTGTCCCTTTCTGAAACAGTTCTAGAAGTTTAAACTAGCCCTCAGTCCATTACAGCCTCCATATAAAGGAGTGAAGTGTTTTGCCACACGTGGATAATGCGCTACAGGACACAAGTGTCCGACAGCCGTGATTTTGTGGATCTCCAAGTTGATTCCAACTATAGGGAGAAGCCAGAGTTGACAAAGAGAATTACAAATATCTAATTTGCCCACTACATTCCTTTTTTTTTTAACCCTGAAATTCATTACACCCATGGCATATATATAAAATACATTTTCATTAGCCCGTCATCAAAGCGCACAAATCCTAAATCTCCTCTGCTGTTCTGAGTGACATATTTCAGGAATAACTACTCAGAAATAACTGCTGTAGATGTGTCTGGCTGCTGAACATGAAAGTATGGGTGCTGCTGACTGCCTGGCAGCTGGCCCAGCATTTAACCCTGCTGTTTTAAAATGTCGTAAAATAAGCACAATTTAATCTTTTGAAACCTTTTGGTCAGTGACTGTGATTTCCGCAAAAAATGACTTCAAAGGAAAGACAGGCACCTTTGTTGATGCCTTTTTAAGCAGTCATGAGTTCCAAATTATTTTTAAAAAGGGAAGCAGAAACCTCAAAGTGTGTAACACCTTCTCAGAATTAGATGCTGAAGCGATATGTAAACTGGGCTGTAAAAATTGATCCTCCACTAGTGATGTGGCTCAGAATGATATAATTAAAAGATAATGTCAATGGAAAAAGAATATCATCGTAGACTAATGGGCTCCTCCTGACACATAAATACCACAGCAAAACCTCTATTTTAATGAAAAAATACCACTTAGAAGCCAAGTAATTTTATTTTCAAAGCAGGATGTGTTGAAAATGTTCTATTTCTGTTGCTATATTTCTGTTTTGCCAAATGTCTGACACAGAATTAACACTTCCACCTTGCAGTCTTCATGTAATACACAAGATTCCTCTGTGCCTCTGAAGCACCACGTTTTACCTGTGCAAAAAGTAGCTGACTTCTGCAAATAGTGTTCCTTTTTATTAGTAAGTTGCAATCTTAATACAGACCGAAGGTTTTCTTTCCAAACTTAGATGCAGAAAAAATTATCCATACTTAATTGTTTGACATTCAACTTGATTTAGAGAATGTGAACATTCCTAGGTATGAGACTGTTTAGGGATGAGGTGACTGTTTTTCAGCCCAGTCAAAGTTGAGTTAAAAATACCCTCTAAGCGCATCAGAGAGAAAAAGAAAGTAACGTGAATAATTAAACATATTTCCTATCTACATCATATTACTCTTTTTAACTTCACAAAAAAACCAAACCAACCAACCAGTCTTTCTTCTGTTCTTCTCAGATTTGGTTTGGAAGAAATGCCTTTTGACATTTCAGTATTAAAGCAGAATGATATGAAGAGCATTTGATCCATCATTGTATGCTAGGATGCTTTGAAAATGCCTACCAGATGTGGCCCTCAAAAGTCCTAGGCATCTTCTGCTTAGTTCCTGGCTTTAGACTGGTCTGAGGAAAGAACTGGCTGATGAGCTGCTCAGACCAGGCTGATCTGGATATGATCTGGATGACTGTTGTCACCTACATAACTTTAAAATCAAAAAGGGAAGTGCCTTGCAAGACTAGGCGCCTCCAGGATTAGGCAGCAGCCAAGCACAGGTTTCTGGAGAGCACTTTTGGATGCTGTTCCACCTACATCCTGCCTTAGGTGCCTAAGTCCTTTACTAGAACTAGCCAGAAAGGCTAGATTCCCATTGAAGTCTGGAGAAGGATTTACATTAACTTAAGTGGATTGGTTCAGGCCTTAAAATGAGAACCATGTGTACATCCTTACAAAGAATCTGGTCCCCTCTGTTTATTCATTGTGACTTCTCACTGTATTGAACCATTCATACACACTAATCCACAAATAATATGTCAAAAGATGTTTTGGAGGATAAGAGAGTTATGGACTTTCATGCCTGTAGTCTGTGCTGTTCTGCGCTGCTCTGGCCATACAGCAGCCACCCTGGCTAACAGGCCAGTCAAGCCACATACACCATTCAGGTCATACATAAGCTCTAATTGTATTACTCGTCTGGCTCGTCAATACTTTTCCATGGAACCGAAGGAAAGGAGAGCATATGGAATAGAGAAGCAGGAAAACTAATGAATGAAAGAATATAACTTTCAGGGTTCTGGCAATGTTTTTACATC